ATATATGCATATATTTATAGGAAACAAATTGAAAAGAGCCATTCTTATAATTTTCATCCCTCAAAGCAAGCTTTGAAAGTCTAGATGTTGTGTATTTAACACTCTTACTATAAAACTTTATTATTCAGTCATAGACGATTAGTTCTTCACATAATTAAGTATTCGCAAGAAATCCTCAGGTCTAAGAAAAACACACTTTTTTATTTAAAAAAAAAAACCCAGCAGAAACGGAAATGTAAGCTACAAGTTTGGGCTTGCATGTACTCAGCTATCTACATGTAAGTGGATATGTGTAATTTGTCAATAATAAAACTGATACATGTTGGTTTGCTAAACCTCTCTCTATATATGGTACAGTCTGTATACCTTAGTAGTTTAAATGTAGCTTTCACAGAGATTTGTATGTGTATGAAGCAGCTAGCTTTTTTATATTATCCACTTCGATTTATAGAGGCCATTAACTGCCCCAACCCAGCTAGAGCATTGATTTTTCAATTCGTTTATAAGTATGCAGGTATCCTTGACACTTACATAATGAGAAAACACAAAATGAAAAAAAATGTGTGGTCAAAATATTTGTTAACCTATTAAGTTTAATGAAGTTTTTCTGAGCGAGGTTGAACAATTACTGTATTGTAATAATGATTTTTAAAAGAGTTTCTGCATAAATGACCTAGTACATGTAACAATAAAAGTGAGAACTGTGAACAAAAGGCCTTAATATTAAAAAAAAACCTCACCAAATCTTTCACCATTTTAAGGTAGTCATTTTAAGGTTGTAGGTCAAGATTATATTGAAAAAATTATCAAAAAATAATTGCCAGGCTATAAGTTAAAAGATGATAAGCATGAAGGGGCACCCACAAAACAGTTGAAAACACATTAATGAGATCAAGTACATAGCAAAGTCAACCAAAAAGGGTTATTTAAAATACCTCTCACCATACATATCTAAATTAAAGGAAAGGAGAAAATTTATGGCTGGACCAGGAATCAAACCCATGCATCACTTAATAAGTCAGGTGCTCTACCAACTGAGCTATCCAGGTGATGTCCACTGCCCCTCCCTCCTTAAATTGTCTTCACCTTTGAAGACAAAACCTACCGAGTTCTATCTTGCCCCTGGCAGGACTTTCACCTGAATGTCCAGCGGTGGTCAACGGTACAGAAATTATATGCAACAGGAAAGGAAGAAATTGAATGGCTGTATTGGAAATGGAACACTGGACCCTAGGCCTGCATCACTAGTCAGGTGCTCTACCAACTGAGCTATTCAAGCTGATAACCATGGCCCAAACTATTATACATGCATGTAAGAAAGTAAAAATGATAACAACTCCCCCCCCCCCTCCCCACACCCTTTGACAAAAACTACATGCAATAAGTATAAATATTGGAACTAAAGTGTACTATATGCTACATGTTTTTATGTGTAAAAAATATGATTGTCATTTGACATTTTTAACAGTTCTAATCAGGACCAATCTGAATATAAAATCTAAAAGATCTCGTATAGAGCACTGAACACACCTTCTAAAATTGTAAACATTAATATTCTGGTAGTCCTGTGCTATATGCAAATTAAACTTTTACAACTTACATATCACCGAATGCCTTTAAAGTCACTGTATAATGAGGTTCTGAGCTTTAATTTACTATAGTTTAGTTCAAGTCTTGATAAGACCTACATGCTTATGTATAAATAGGAAGTTTTACTACATGTATATACCTGCCAAGGTTGCCTACGTCAGTCTTATTGATTTTTGGCTGGAGAAAATATCTTCCTACAATGTATCAAAAGATTGACCCTTGGTTTTTTTCTTGTGTTTGAACCCTTATGTTTGGATGCACTGATCCCAAAACAATTAATGTTTAAAAACAAAAGGCCCATGGCTCACAATGCTCACCTGACTTACCATATATCTTCCTGACAAAAAAATATGAACATGTACAATTGTCTATAAACAAGCTTTTATTCAGAGAATTTATGTCCCCCTGTCATGGATAAATTCAGTAGGTGCAAGACCTATTAAATTCATAATTACAGAGAAAGAAGATGGATTGATCCCGACATTTCACTATGTGGCTTTAAAATCGATAGATGTCTTTCTTCATGCAGTTGTGCACTGTTCACATTAATGCACATTAAATTTTTAATTCAATGTGAAGTAAGAAAATTCAAATTAAACAAATGTGAATTTAAGTTGTGTCCACTAGACTGTTAAACTAATGCCCATTAACATTTTATTACTAATTAAAATAGAGCTATTAAGAATTACAAATTAGTCACCTGAAGCAGAGCTGATAAACAATTGACATTATGTCATAGAGTCTGTCTTGTAGAGTCTTTCCACATTTGAATGATAAACTTAATTAATTTCCTTTGTTTTTCACTCAATAATAGCATGTGGTTTAATTTTGCTATTACACATGTTATGTGTCAAAATTTAATTCAAATTAGCTTTGCTTATAATAAGGTCGTGATAAAAAATTCTTGCCTTCCCCAATTTTTTTTACCCCTGCCTCGATTTTTTCTGTTTTTCTGTGTCTTGATTCTGATTGGGATCGGTATTCAACTACCATTATATTCAACTTTCATTTTAAATCCTGCAAATGTCAGCATGATTTTGACAGCTGACAAGACGTTAATTGCTCTAATATGTATTAAACAAGGATCATTGGTTAATTGTGCTAGACTGGTGATGATAATAGGAAGAGAATGATATGCATATTTACAAGGAACTCTACTATGACTTTTATTCGGGCATTATAGATAAATCTGCACTGATTGATCAGGTCAACAAAAACACAAAGAAAAAAAGAAAAAATAGAAAATAAAATCTGCCACACGCCTCGATTTTTCAAAAAATTTGGATGAGAATCTAGGAATTTTTTTTATAATGGCCTTAGTGTTCACACCGAGTTAATGCAAAGCAATTTGATGTATATTAAATTAATTAAACTAATTTGCATTAAATTTTAAATATGAATGCAGTTCAAATTAAATTGCAGTAACTTATATTTAATTCAAATTAATCAGGCAATATGATTACATTTACAGGGTTTAACATTAATTTTTTAATGCGTACAAGACCAGTCAGTCTACTTCCCATAATTTTTACTAGCTCTGACCATAAAACCACTAGCCCAACCAAACTTCAAAATTTTCTTTTTATAACCTACTATTTTAACGAAAAAGAGTTTCAAAACCTTACTATCTCTCGCACATGTTAAGATATACATTTTGACAGACTGTTCCATAGGTCGCACACCATGAGTCGGGTTAAGCGGAACATGCAAATATTGTAAGCTTTAAAGAACATTTGGGAAACTTAAAAAATTATTACCATAAATATAAATTAAAGAATATATTATTTGATAACTTTTCACACTGAACAAAGCTAGTTTTGATCGCAACTTGTCTATTACAGCCGGGCTAAAAATAGAGATTGTGTCATGCAGGGAAGTTTTCATTTTCAGAGCAATTGCTGTGTTTACAATCAGAAAATTAAGAAAATTTCTTTAAAAAGTTTTTTAGAACATTTTATTTGAAAGACTGAAATGAGGATTAACATTCATTTCATTCAAACAACCAGTCGGTCTAGTTCACGAACATTTGACATGACCGACCACTCATTTACTAGACTGGGTCGGTCAGACATGCCTTAGTGAATAAGTGTCAAACCCTGATTTATTGCAAAATCTTAGAAAAAGAACAAAAAAAGTTTATTATCATCATGATCATCTAAAATCCACTTTATGCAATATTATTTATAATGTTTTTCTGACTTTGGCCTATGACCTTTTGACCTCAAACTCAGTAGGGGTCTTCTTTAAGTCATAGGGAGTTATGTCAGTATAAAATTTCATTGTAAAAGCTTATAGATTTAAGTTAAGACTTTTCCTCTGGAAACTATTATATGCAATATTAATTTTCTCACATTTGATCATGTTGATAGGAAGTTTACATAAATTTCATTGTAAAAAATGCAAAGCAAAAAGCTAATTATAATTATCATCTGAAGTCGACCATTTTAAGCAACTACATTATAATGAATTTCTTACACTGACCTTCCAACCTAAAAATCAAGAGGGATCTTCTTTATATAATAGGGAGTAATGAGTTCTGATAATATAAAATTTCATAAAATGCAACAATTAACTCGAAAGAGAATACAAGTTTATTTATTGTCTGAGAAACATGTCATATATCAATTAAAGTTCAAAATTAACTTTTATCCACTTTGTTCTTAAGAATGTCAAAATATTTCTGATCAAAATTGTTCCATATTTATTGGTCATCCATGTAATCCTTGCCAAAGGGGTCATGGTTTGAACACATGTAAGTAGAACTAACACATCATGGGAATGATTGATTATTTGACATTTATATCATGGCCCGGCCTGTTTTGTTTAAGAGACAATTCACTAGGGCTGGGAGGATGTTTCGATCGAGATATCGATAATATCGATTCTGTGTGAGGACGATATGCATATCGATGCGCATGAAGAAATATCGAAATATCGCAAAAAAATTCTGACTTATGTTTTTCTTTGTTTACTTCAATACATAGCATATCGTGGCTCAAACATTGTGATACGTATCGATATAGAAAAAGTTGTATCATCCCAGCCCTACAATTCACAAAAATCAGCTTTAATACTTACAGTGAAGAACTTGATGATTATTTGTCTCTTGTTACTTCAATTTCTAATGCTCATTCAGTGTTCAAGATTATATTTCTGGTGTGGTTCTTCATTTATAAAACTTTAGTAATTGTACAAAATCGCACATGTAATCTCCAAACCTCCCTAAAAAGACATATTTCTTTCTGGTGTCATTCCTTAATTTATCCATCGGACCTAAACAAACACATTTTCCCAAAAATTACTATGAAAAACACATGTGTCTACTTTCGCTTTAAATAAATGAAATATTAAGATACATATTTTACACAAAACTGAAGTAGACTCACCATAAAACTGTAGCGGTTAATTACCTTTATCTCGAGCACAATATATTTTTATGTCGTCTGTCTATCCTTTACTGATAATTTACTTCCTCCTTTTCATTCTTTTGTGTTTTTCAGTTTTGCGTTTCCATTGATATAAAAGCGGTGTTCGGTCAATTCGCACCTGTTTCGATAAAACGATTTAGATACATCATATACTTACTGCTTTCATTGAACTCCTCTTGTACATGTTGTATTAGTTAAAAAATTATACGTAAACTAGAAAATGATTATAGATACTAAAAGTTCTAGATAAGAATAAAATAAGAACCATTTTTAAATAACCGATATTCTATTTCAGTTTGAACAATGGGTACAAGCCTACTCCCAACTGTTCCAAGACAATTTATACCATTAGAATCACTTTTGCCAGAGACACACAACGTTAGGCCAAAAATTATTTGTCTCTGCTTTTGCTTAGGCTACTTTTAAACAGTTAAATTTTAATAAAACTTAAGGATTGTTTGAACTGATCACAAATTGAGTGTATATTGAGTAAATTTCAATTTACTTCATTTTAAATCTAATGGCAGACCACATAAAATGCCTTGAACTTAGAACTCGTTTGCAGTGCTTCTTCTCGCCGTTGTGCACATGCAGCACACTTTTGCGGTAGATTTAGAGCCAGAAAAACTATTTGGTGCATGTAAATTTTTTTCAGACCCCCCTTACATGTATGTAGAACTTATATATGTCCATATTATCCTAAAATATTTACATTTCCAATGTCTTTGTCCGAGATAAAATTACAAATTGTAAAAATACTTTATTTCTACATAAATCTACTGGTTCATCGATAGGCTCGGTTAAAAAAAATCACGTGCGGGGCGGGACAAATTGAGACAGAAGCGGGGCTATTAGCACGGGAATTTGCAGAATCAGGAGAATGTAAATATAAGGCATAACTGTCAGATTTTTTGGATTCATGACGATGATCAATCGATTGGCTTGCATGATAATTTTATGCATAAACGCCTTCGGCGTTTATGCAAATTATCACGCAAGCCACTCGATTGATCACATCATGAATCCAAAAAATTAGACAGTTATTCCTTAAATCAAGGAAAAACACCTCTTATATGTAAGAATTCGTCAGCTGGACCCACTGGGGGCTTCAATGCAACCCTCAGACCCCCCTGCCTTCTACTGCCCCCCCCCCCGTTATGAAATTCCTGGATCCGCCATTATACATGATATGTATATTCTGTTGACCAAAACGGCTGTCGAAAAGCGATTTCTAAAGGAAAGAACTGCAGTATATACATGTACTTGGCATCTAATTTGGCCCTAATTTTGAACTTAATATCAAAAGCAATTTTTTTTTAATGTTAATGTTGTACAAAACCAATCACAATTTTAACACAAAGCACAAACAAGTACATCAATTGCCTTTTTTCATCAAATTGCCAAAAATTAATATCTTCCTTCATCTTTTTAACTTTAGAAAACATGGGCTACAGGGGTCAGTTATTTGTTTTACATGTATATTGGTGCTGTAATTATACTTGAGACTCCCGTCGACACATGTTTTCAAGAAAAAAAAACACCTTTCAAATTGACATAAATTTCTCTTAAGTTTTACAAAAAGCATAAATTAAAGTACGTCATATTGATGACGTCGTGTTATAAAAACAAGAATTAAACTGGAAGTTTTAATTGTTTCTGCCTAATCCATTACTAAATTCATCGAATTTCAGAGGACCAATTTGAACGATGTTCAAATTTTAGGACCGAGAAAGATTATTATCGTAGTCCTTTTTGGACACAACAGATTCATGTATATAAGCTTCTTCTGATAAATATTCACCTCTTATCAGTCATTCTACGATAAATGGACCAATTCAGAGTAAAAAACATGAAAAAAATAATTGTTTCAAATAGCAAAATGAACATCATAATTCTCTAAAGGACCTATCAGTGAACTTGAAAACAAAGAATTATCCACAAATGTGGTATCGTTAACTTTTTACAACGATTTCAAGATACCATTGATTTTAAGGTAATGTTACGGAAGTTAATGCTTGATCAAGCCTTATTATTTTTTAAATAAAGCTGAATTTGACCAATTTTTCGTTTCTGATGTTCAGTAAAGAACGCTAAAGTATGATTGATGAAGTGTCGCATGAATCCGAACCTAAATTAAATTTTCGGGAAAAATATCGTTACGGAAGTTAATTCCCAGCAATAAAAGTTCAAAATCTCTTCAATAGTTAAAATCAAAGTTTGTTTTAGGATATTAAACAAAAGTATGAAGCATTTTCCTCCCAAAATGATAAAAAAAATTTATACCTTAAATGCAAAGACTTTCCTGAATTACCGTTACGGAAGTTAAATTTTTAAGAGAGACAACTGTTTTTGTCTAATTCATTTTGTTATGTCGAAAATGTAATCGTGTAAAATAGCTGACTCGCAACTAGAATCGATGATATAATGTTTCGTGGTCACTTTCAGATAAGTTTCAGTTCTTTTTGAAATCTGCATTCTAAGCGTGAAATTTAAAACAAAATCGTTACGGAAGTTAATCGATTTTAAGCGACATGCTTATAAATTCGCACGAAAGGAGAACTATGCATATAGCTTTGCGGTTTGATTTAGTTTTGTATAGGATAAAAAACATTTTTTAACATTCATTGCACTCTATTGGGAACGATTTTACGGCTGAAAATTTCGTCTTGAAATTCGTATATAAATAAAGCGACATTAAGATTTGCAGTGGAATACGTTTTTCAACATTACATTATGTTCATATCAAAACTTTAACTGCATACATATCGGTGAATATTTACAAAACCATTTGTGTATTTTAAGTCTTAGAGTTGAAATCGACCTTTAAATTTATAATTAAGATATTACAACGGTTAATTTTCAAGCGACATAAAAAATTCTTAATTGGTCATGTTTTTGTAGAATGACTGTTATATGGCCTTACTCAAACAAGGTCGGCATTGCATGTTTGATGAGTGTTCCCCTCTCGTATAGTGAGCCTTCCCCTGGAAGCCTGGTTATATACATGTAGTGCATGAGTCTTCCTCTGGAAGCCTGGTTATATAGTGAGGCTTCCCCTGGAAGACTGGTTATATACTAGTAGTGAGCCTTCCCCTGGAAGACTGGTTATATACTAGTAGTGAGCCTTCCCCTGGAAGCCTGGTTATATAGTGAGCCTTCCCCTGGAAGACTGGTTATATACTTAGTCCATATAGTAGTGAGCCTTCCCCTGGAAGCTTAAGCCTGGTTGTATAGTGAGCCTTCCCCTGGAAGATTGCATATATATTATACAAGTTTTTTGCATATGTGTGTGTGTGTGCCGGGGAGTGGGGTCTGTCAGCTAACATCCGCAACTGTACTCGGCAGTGCTGGTACCGGACATCCATGACTGTACCTGCTCACTAATATCAAAAACGGAATGTCAGAGCAAGATTTTCCGGATTGTTCAACATATTAAACTATATGTTGTTAATTAAGTATGGATTGTTTTTTTTAATGAAAAATACGAAATGTGTTAATATGGAGGAAAGAAAATTTCTGATTTTAAATAAATCTACTTTATGGAAGGCTGTAATCGCCAAAACGGTAACGATAACTGGCTTATAGTGAATATATGTAAACTTGACTATGCCTACATTTTGTATATCTATGACTGTATCCTCTGCCTGGTATACAACATCTGCGACTGTACCTGTGCCGTACATACACACTACCACTGGCTCAACCCGCGCTTGATTAATAACATCCACAACAAAAAACTCTGTGGATTTTCTCCGATTTAAACTGAATTTAATCAAAGCGCAATTATAACTCTAATCTTTATATTACCCATGACAGTGATACCGAGACAAACGATGTCAGCAGTGATTAGGGAAAGATCCAAAACTTTTACAGATTTAAATTTAAAGCTTTATGTTCAGAGAACAATATGAACCAGGTCTTTATTTATTTTTTTTTTGGGGGGGGGGGGGGGGCTGGGGCATGATTTCAATTTCCTACGTGCTCAATAATAATGATGAATTTAAAAATGAAACATGCTAGTATAATTATAGAAAATATACGAGTAAATAATAAACAAAGTAAAATAAAAAAGGAAATTAAAATAAATATCGGAATTAATTTGTTATCCTTAATTTTATGTTAGAAAGTATAAGTACGTCACAATATTATTAATTTCACCCATTTCATTTATCACGCAAGTGGTGTCAATGAAAAGCACAGGTTTTATTTCCCATAAATATACATTTGTATGTCTTACGATATATATACGGGTTGAATGGGCTGATCCACCCATTTTCAATGCGTTATATATAAACCTCTCAAGTGCACCCCAGGAAGTAGCCTCCTATATCCTGAAAAAGAATAGTTCCTGACAAAACACCTTTATTTATTTACAAAGTACATAAAATTTACTAGGCACAGGCATCAAAGTTGTAAAAATGGGTTGGAAGAACCAACCCCCCAACCCCCCCCAAAAAAAAATCTCAAAAGAAATAAAAATTAATTTTATATGCATGGAACAATTAACATCTTGACTGGTCGATAACCGTGGTGTGATACCTGAAATATGCAGGGTATGGTATTAAAATAATTGATCATATTAAAGGAAATTAATGCTATAATTATCGATAACATCCAAAGTAAATATTTGTATAAGTAAATATTTTTATTAGATCCACCTCTCTAAGATTCTGCTGTACTGTCCAGACAACTCTAGAAATTCTACACCATGACTGTACCGGTGTCTGATTGACAACATCCACGACTGTACCTGTCCACTACACACACTTTATTCTACATCCATGACTGTACCAGTGCTTATAAACAACATCCCTGACTGTACCTGTGCCTTATAAACAACATCCCTGACTGTACCTGTCCAGTACACACACTTTATTCTACATCCATGACTGTACTAACAAGTGCCTTATAAACAACATCCCTGACTGTACCTGTGCCTTATAAACAACATCCATGACTGTACCTGTGCCTTATAAACAACATCCATGACTGTACTTGTCCAGTACACACACTTTATGCTACATCCATGACTGTACTTGTGCCTTATAAACAACAACCCTGACTGTACCTG